ACAGGCTTTTCATATACGTGACGTACATCGGTGGTTCAAAAATTGTCTCAGGAATTCTTCATAATAGGGGGGGGGGGGGGGTTCCTGCACATTTCAGGACGTGTAGCATCCTGTACAGGGCGACTAAATGCCAGCGAGTCCCTTCCCTTCAAATTTTTGTCAATCAAAAAATGTCCCATAGGGACGTCCCCAGTGGTCCAATGGTTAGGACTCTATGCTTCTACTGCAGTGGGCATGGGCTCCATCCCTAGTCGGGGAACTGAGATCCCACATGCCACACGGTGCGGCCAACAAACAAACAAAAAGCCCCATAAATTTCCAAGATGCACCCTAGGTAGCAGCACCAGCCCTGCTGAGGATCCTCTTCCATGGTCCCAAATAACCTTAGTCCAGCTGTGGCTGCTCGGTTTTCCTTCCTCCAGCGATAACCCAGCCTTGGTCTTCTCTTTAATAACGACGACCTAACGTGTCAGACCAGAAAGACGACCACATGTCGGACCAGAAAGGATGTCAGGAGAGAAGTAAGGTGTCCTTGGGCTTGCCCTCAAGCTCATGGGGCTCCGCTGGATACTTGGCTTGGCCTCTCTCCACGAGATGTGCTTAGGGATCCACAAAGACTCAATCAGTGCTCAATCAGAACTTGTGACAGACAGGGCTACGACCCCCTGGAGTGGCACAGTCACCCCACTGCATCCAAGTCGAGCAACGCTTGGGGCCCCAGGGTGCCGGGAGCAGGGATGAGGGAGAAGCTTGATATGGGAGTCTGTGGCCATCAAACAACAGGGAAGTTCTGGAACGGGGCTGAGAGAAGGAGTTGCAAGATGATGGCAACAGGGAGCAGCGAGGCCGAGAAGGTAGATAAGGGGAGGAGAGTTCTTCGAGGGCTGCTGCAGAAGGAAGGGTCCAAGCCACGCAACTGAAACTGTTTATTGAAATCTTGGTTCTACAAAAAGTGTGAAAAACCCAGATACAAAGCAGTGGCCAGAGAGGCCTGTGAAGAGAACACCCGGGAGAGGAACCAGAAGAGAGGGAAGCCCAGGAGCGGGAGACTAAGAAGAGAAGGGTGGAAGACGAAAGGGCCAGGTTGCAGGTCCCAGCAGTCCCTGGCTCTTCTAGACTAAGTCCCAGGGACGGGTGTGGAGAGGGATTCCCCCCTCACCCCGCCTGCGCGCAGCAGCTCCCACCGTGGGTGGCCCCGTCAGTCCCTGCCTCTCCTCCATCAGGGACATCACACAGACCGTGGCCAATGTTTCCTCCCTCCCTCCCCTCTTCCTAGGAAACTCAAAAGTCTAAAAGAGCCCAGGGGAAATGGAGGGACAGGGGCTCGTCCCCTGTCCACCTGTGACACGCCCCTGGTCGCTGAGCTGAAGCTTCTCCCGGCACCACCACTGCCCTGGCCAATCAGCCAGCCACTGAGGGGCGGAAGAGCAAGTGACCTTCAGTCCTTCTGCCCCACAACGCCCTTAAGCTCCATCACTCAGGAGGACAGGGGACCAGCCAAGAACCCAGATCACGCTTTGCCCCTCCAGGTTCTCAGGGACTCCCAAATCCTCTTAATGCGTTCCTCAGAACCCTACCTAGCCTGGAAAAATGAAAGACTTAAGGCGGGCCAGTTCCATGATGCCGAAGAGGGAACACTGCTGGGGCTGTGGGAGCAGCGGGGGCATCGGGCTCCAAGGCCAGGGGGGAGCCAGGCCGTGGGAGTGGTACCGGGGGCTGGGAGGCCCAGTGGGGATGGTATGGTTGGGGTGGTGGCAGGTACGGCAGGCTGGTGAGTCCTTCTGGAGCTTCTGGCAAAGGGGGCAGCTGTGGAGAAGAGCGAGAGGAGCCGGAGCAGCTGGGAGAGGCAATGGTGGCGGAGCCCGTGAGGCCAGAAGGCTGCCCCAGAGTGGACGCGGCCCTACATCGACTTCCAGGCAGCTGGAGACGTTAGCAGGAGAAGGCAGGCACCGTGGCACCGAAGCAGGTATGCAGGGTTCCGAAAGGCACCTGGAGGCCAGTCCAAGGTCTGGGGGGCCAGGTGGGGGGCTACAGGACAGCCCCAAGGACTGGTGTATTACGGCCATCGATGCCACAGCCAGGGCCACACTGCTCACATACGCCATAGCTAACAGGCAGGACACCTGCAGGATAGGGATTAAGAAAGGTCAGTGCCCAGATCCCCTTCCCCCAAACCTGCTTCTCACTGTCATTAACACACCCACTCCTTATTTCTGGACACATGTACTCAAGTGAGAGCTCTCTATCACCATCTACTCCCAAACCTCATCTCCTGAGCCTTTCCGTATTTGCTTTACATCATCCCACCCTACACCGCAGCCAGCTCCAGCTCCCTATCCTTCCTGACCCCTCCTCACCTTTGCCAGCCACTGGCAGAGGGAGCCCAGGGTCAGCTGCCAGGCAGGCTGCTCCAGCAGCACACACAGGTCTGTGTAGGTGTACCAGCCCCGCCGGCGGCCCTGCTGCTCAGCCACGCTGCAGAAAGAGGAGAAAAGACAGAAAGAGTCTGCAACCCTCCTGCAGCTGGCCCACTGGCACCCTCTTTCCCCTGGGGACCCACCAGGAAACACTAGGGAACTTGTTAAATGTACAGATTCCTAGACTACCCGTTGATCCAGAAACTGAGAATGAGACCAAGATCTGTATTTTAAATAAGCTTCTCCCATCCTCCCAAAGGTTATTACAAAGAGGACCGCAGACAGCTTTGGGAACCACTACCTTGGGCGATTCTTTTTCCCGTCTTCTCTCTCCCCCAGTTACACACACCCTCATCTCTGTTTAGCTCTTATGGCTGAAGCCTCCCCGCAAATCCCTCAACCTCTTCCTAACTCCTGGAACCTACCAGCTCTCCAGCCAGCTCAGCACCTCAAAGATCTCCCGAGGGTCAGTGTAGAGACGCCAATCCTGTGGGTAGGAAGAGAAGAGCATCGAACCAGGCTTGGATATGAGCCACAGTCAATTAATAACCAGACCCAGAGGAGCAAGTACAACCACTGCTACGGGTAACACTTGGCTCTTACTGTGTGCCAGATACTGTTCCAAAAGTTTTTATTTTATTATTTTTTTTAAAAATTTATTTATTTATTTATTTTTGGCTGCATTGGGTCTTTGTTGCTGCGCACGGGCTTTCTCTAGTTGTGGTGAGCAGGGGCTACTCTTCGTTGCAATGCATGGGCTTCTCACTGTGGTGGCTTCTCTGTTGCGGAGCATGGGCTCTGGGCACACGGGCTTCAGTAGTTGTGGTTCATGGGCTCTAGAGCGCAGGCTCAGTAGGTGTGGCACACGGGCTTAGCTGCTCTGCGGCACGTGGGATCTTCTTGGACCAGGGCTCGAACCCGTGCCCCCTGCATTGGCAGGTGAATTCTTAACCACTGCACCACCAGAAAAGTCCTGTTCCAAAAGCTTTTACGTATTAACTTACTTAGTCACCACATATCTGGTTTCATATTGCAGCCTCCATTAAAAGCAAGGGGAAAAAGTATTCTTGAGGATGGTCCGTACTCATAGGGAGCCCAGCACCTAGGGACAGACAAAGTCTGGAAGCAAATAATCAGAGCCCAGTAAGATAAGCTCTGACTCAGAGTGTCCCCTGTGGTGCCTGGAGGGTTGGTGATGAGGGATGCTCCATTTCTGGCTTCACCATGCCAGGAACCTCCAAAGGGTGTGCTTATTCCAGAAAAGCTAGAAGGGAAGACAGTAACAAGGGAAGGCACAGGGAGGACAAGCAAAAAGAGAAATGAAGAGACGGCAGAAAGCTGGGAGATAAAAGACAAAGGGTGAAAGGAATATAAAGATGGGCCAGGAAAACAGAGCGAGAGAGAACAGTTACTCACCATGGCACTCAGGAAGCCCCTCTCCAGGGCATTGAGAGTGGGCACGGCCACACCCCCAGCAGCTCCCCATTCATCACTGAAGACTTCCTCCTCCTCCCCTTCATCATAGAGGTACTTACTGGCCACCATCTGCAGAGGAACCAGAGGTGGTGTCAGTAGAGCTCACACCGGGCTCCCGGCTCACCAGAGAGATGAAGGGAAGAGGGCATCTTACCATGGAGATCAGGAACAAGTCAGACGATGACACATGCTGTAGGTAGTCTGGGTTTCGATGCCGGAGCCGCTCAATGTACACCAGAGCTAGCATCATAGCACACGGGGAAATGCATGCCTCCCTGGGTGGCGAAAAGGATTAGTAATTAAACCCAAGGGTCTTTCAGCTCTTGTAACTCTTATGATGCTCATCCCTGTATCTTTACAACTTCTCCTTAGAGATAACCGTTCCCCTCTCTCTAGGGCCGAAACACTCTCACTCCATCTCTCTCGACTGCAGACTCACCGGGACACATGGGCCACATATTTCTTCTGAAGCCTGCGAACAGGACTGGGGGCTGCCTTCTGGAGCAGTTCCACAGCAATGTCTGCAGGGGGCAGAAGGAGAACACAGTGAGCAAACAACTCCAAAGTTGTCCCCACTGTTATCAGCAGAAGACCCAACACTGCATTATCTGAGGCCTTGGGGGCAGAACCATAATAACAAAATAGACATCAAATTCTCCCACACTGAGACGAAAAGCCCATTCCAGGTTTGAATTTCATCTCCTTCCAGGAGGAAGGCTTATTTCCCTGTCACCTGAAATTATCTAGATTTGTTCTTTACTCTAATTCATTTGAAAAGGTACACATGCGTTGTTTCGGAAATATATGACATGTATCCTCGGAAAATTTAAAGTTTCTGGTATACAAATCAAGAATGATATAGACTTGTAAAACAGCCATGTCTCCTCCTCATCTAGGCTTAAAAAAAAAGTGAAATACAAACCTAGTGCTTACACCAATCAAATGCACCAGCTGTGAAGAGACAGTGCAGTTCCCAGGGTACACCTAGAGTCATTTTGGTGACCACTGACAACCCCATTTTCAGGCTTCTCGTTGGCCCATTCGCACAACACTGTCTAACCTGCCACAGGGCTGGAGAGCTCCTCCAAGCTACAGTCAGCTTCCCAGTCCCAGCCATAGTAGAGTCTCCTTCGGATCCGGGCACTCAGCTTCTGGTGTCCTGGGAGGAACTGAACAGGGCAGGAGGGTGGTGGAGTGCGAAGGGCAGGGAAGGATATGATGGAGATCATGGATCCCGGCTGGAAGGGGGATGCCGGGCGAGAGGCCTGCCTCACCGCTAGCGGGGGCCCATGCCCCACCCAGCCCCGCATTCTCCGGACTGTTTGCCAATAGCAGTCTGTCCACAGCGGGTGGAATCCTCTTCGCTGAGGGCTCTGGAGGAGAAGTTCTCTGAGAAAGGCCCCGGCTGGCCACCTCCTACTCCACAGCCCTGTACCCCGCGGCTCACCCCCGGGGCCCAAGCAGCCAGGGCCTCGAGTAGGCACGGTTTGAGCGACTACCGCCTGGTTCCTCGGCAGAGCCATCAGGCGAGCTCGCGGCCCCGCTCGGGCCCCGACGGGAGCGCCCGGAGTCCCGGCTCCAAGCGCGGGGAGGCAGGGGAGGTGGCGGGCCGCACGCTCACCGTGAAGTCCTGGAAGCCGGTGAGGGAGAATGTGCCTTCTTCGTCCAGCAGGAGCCCGGCCAGGTCCATCGCGCCGCCAGCCGCCGCCCTGCGAGGGTGGAAGGAAAGGGAACGAATTGTAACGGGGCCGCGGAACCGCCCCTGAACGCCTGTCCACCTACCCGCCGGCCTCCCTCAAGCTGGCCTCCACCCTCGCCGGTGGAGCCCCCCCCGCCACTGGCCAGAGGCGGCAGGCGGGGCCGGGCAGGCGGGAGTCTCTTCCTGTTCCGCTCCGGGCGGGGCTACGGGCTCCGGGCTCCGGGCTCCTGGCCCCGGGATCTGGGCTCCGGGCTCGGGGAGTGGAGCTCAAGGGCCAGGGCGCCCACCTCACCCAGTAGAGAGGAGACCCGGCTTCGAGGCGCGTGTTGTGCCTTTGCCGCGCCGCGCGTCTGCCCTGCTTTTAGAGGCCAATGGGGCGCCGCTGGCCAGTCAGCGCCCGAGACTTCCTGCCTCCCGCTGGCCGGAGCCGCCGGCCCCGACCGCCGGGAAGGAGCCGGGCTATTATTCCTGGTATCGCTGAGCCCCAGCGTGCCCTCGTCTGAGAAATCGGAACAATTCTTAGGGGACCATGGCGCAGTGAGGATGAACGAGCCCGGCTGAACTTTTCATACCGATGTAAATAAAACAAAGACTCAGGACAGGGAGTTTCTCGCAATTGTTTTTTTAAAGAGGAGATAATACGCACACACAGAATAATATACATAAAAAAGCGTCAGGAAGAGTACACAAAAATTTAACAGTAGTGAATTGTGTACAAAAGGCAAGAGCACTTTTGGCTGTACATCTTCATTTTGTACAGCTTGGAATTTTAGACCTAATTAAACACGTATTTTGTAGGATTATTGCAGAGATGAAATGATCTCAAGGAAACACAAAACGCTTGTTGTATTTTAAGCCTCAACAAATGGTGTTGGCTTCCCTGGTGGAGTGGTTGAGAGTCCGCCTGCCGATGCAGGGGACACGGGTTCGTACGAGCCCCGGTCCGGGAAGATCCCACATGCCGCGGAGCGGCTGGGCTCGTGAGCCGTGGCCGCTGAGCCTGCGCGTCCGGAGCCTGTGCTCCGCAAAGGGAGAGGCCACAACAGTGAAAGGCCCGCGTACCGCAAAAAACAAAAACAAAAACAAATGGTGTTATTATGCCCCCCAAAGAGTAAACAGCACCTAAACAGGGTTTTATTTTTAAACTCACCCCCAGACCCCAATCTCTTGCTTAAGCAAGGGACTGGAAGGAGTTTTCCATGCGTAAAGGCGGGAGAGTTTACAGAAAGATGGGAAGGAAACTACTTTTAATAGCTGAAGCTGTTTTTGAGTCTGTCGAGTCATGCGCTGCTGTTTGTTTATTCGCTGAGGAGAGGGAACTGGGAAGACTAGTACCGTCGAGTGTCGCGTAAAGGAAAGGTCGCCGCGCTACCAGAGCAGAAGCACGTCTCTCGGGGTATACTGGGCATCTGAAGCCCACTCCCTGACCCTGTCGGCCGCATCACGCCAGAAATACCGGGCCAAGACCAGCCTCCCTAGCCGCCCTGACTACACAGGGAGAAGAAAATTGGCTGGGGTGGGTAAAGGCGGAGATTTCCGTCCTTCCGTCCGAAACAGGCAGACACCGCTCGGCGCAGCCAAAACACGAACCTGCGTAGGAGCAGGGTCACCGGCAACCGCCTGCGCGCAGGCTCCGGCCGCCCTAGTTCGGCGGTTAGGGCGTGTCACGTGACGGATTCGTCGCTCCGCCGTCACGTGACGCCCGTCCGCGGCCTCAGCGGCCTTCTCCGCTGCGTGCGCCCCCGGCGGCAGCCGCGCAGCCCTGGCTCCTCGCGGGCTCGGGCGGCGGCTGCGGCGGGGCCATGGCGAGTGGCGGTGGCGGTGGCGCTGGTAACACCGGCGCAGGTGGGGGCTCGGGGCTGGGCCTTAGCCTCGGCCTGGGCCTGAGCCTAGGCATGGGTGAGGCCACCGGCGAGGCGGAGGAGGAGGCTGCCACGGCCGAGGCGGTGGGACGCCTGGCCACGGCTCTGTGGCTGCGGCTCCGCGGCTGGGAGGCGGTGCTGGCGGCAGCGCAGCGGCTGCTGGTGTGGGAAAAGCCGCTGCACAGCCTGGTCACGGCGGCCGCGCTCAACGGCCTCTTCTGGTAAGGGCCGCGGAGGAGGGGGGCGGGGCCGGGCTGCGCGGTGGAGCGGGGGCGGGAGAGCCCGGATTCCTCTTTCTGGGGAAGATGCTTGTCCTGGGGGACTGACCCATCAGCTGTTTTTTAAAGGTCGTCGTCCGCCTGGGTTGCCCCATTTCTCTGTCTTCGGGTGTCGAGTTAGGCCTGGAGGTTCCCATTCCCCCATCAGTGGGCGCTTTTCCGCCTTTGCGATGGATGTGGGAGCCTTTCTCACCCACTCACCGCTGAGCTGCCTGTCTCTCCCTAAGGTTGCTGTCTTCTTCCTCCCTACGGCCCTTCTTCCTACTCAGCATCTCACTTTTGGCCTATTTTCTGTTGGATCTCTGGCAGCCTCGCTTCCTCCCTGACATCTCAGGTGAGTGTTAATTCATTCAGCAAGCCCCGTTGAGCACTTGTTTTGTGCCTGACTCACCTGGCTGGGTTGAATGGTGAGGAGAGCGTACAGCAGGCCACCTGCCTCCCAAAGCACAACTGCTTCCCCAGATGGGAAATATAATTTCCCCTTTCTCAAAATTAATGTTATTGTGTGTAGTAGTTAAGACTGCGGACTCTGCAGCCAGATGGCCTGGGTTCCATTGCCTGCTCTCCCATTTACCCTGTTTGTGACCTTGGAAAAGTCACTTGATCTCCGATTTGCGTTTGCCTGTTTCCTCAACTATGAAACAGGGACTGTAAACCTTATTTCGTAAGGAGGTGGAGAATAAAGAAGTGAACTCACTTTATGTGCCTGTGGTTGGGCTTCATATATGATAGGAACTGTAGGAGCATTAGCTCTTCCTGTGTTTTTTGTTGTCCACATATTCACTTAATTGACATGTTGGAGTAACTAGGTGCCAGACTGTGTGTGAGTTGTTTGGGGTGTAAACGTGAATAAGATGTTGTTCCCATTGTGGAAAAAGGTAAAGTCTAAAGGAGACAGATATACAAACGACAATAACAATGTAATACTTCCTGCAAATGGCATTTCAAAAAAGCACTCTGGGACTGCAGAGGAAGGGCAGCTGTTTCTGGCTTAGGCAGTGTTTCCCAGAGCTCGACACCTCAATAACTCGTTTTCCTTCTCTCTCTAAAGCATCATCCCCAGAGGAGCCACACTCTGACAGGTGAGTGCAGGCCACCCCTCGAAGACAAATGCCCAATCCCTGTCTTGCTTTGGTGCCAGTGTCTCACCGCCACAGTGCACAGCGGTACTGCAGCTTCTGCAGGCACAGACCCCAGCATAGTGAATGCACTGGCAACAAGCTTGGTCCCAGGTTCTTGCATAGGTGTTTGTGTGCCTGCTCCTTTCAGGGCAAAGGGTTGGGAGCTCTGGGCTTTGTTCCCCAGGACCCGGATGGCCTCCCTCTGGGAGGTGGGCTTGTCCACTTCCTTAGACTAGAGAGCTCATTGACATTCTCAGAGGGATTTGAGTGCCTAGGAAGCTGGTGTCTGAGGCCTCCAGGGGTCGTGTCATGTCTCCCCAGTGAGGGTGCGGGGTCAGGCGCCCGGCCGCACCTGCTGAGTGTGCCCGAGTTGTGCAGATACCTGGCTGAGAGCTGGCTCACCTTCCAGATTCACCTGCAGGAGCTGCTGCAGTACAAGAGGCAGAATCCAGCTCAGGTAACCTCCCGCACATCACACAACAGTTCTCTACGCTGTGGAGAAATAGAGGCGGGGGTGGGGAGGAGTGACTCGAACTCCTCAGCTGGAGACTGAAGGATAAGGCCTGGTGCCTTCTTGAGGCAAGATTTACAGCTAGTAGTCTGGTACAGGAGGCAGAATAAGCTTCTGCCATTCTGACACGGTTTCTTGCCAAGAGAGACCAGTTTGAATTATAGGTGTTTGGCAGTGTTTGTTGCAAACTTCCTAGTTGGTGGTCCTGGGCATCCACTTGACTAAACTGGATCACCACATTCCTAGAGGGCATACGCCTCCTTCCACCAGCTGAGCAGTAATATTTCTTACCCGGATAAGTGGAGCGCATACCTCAGCCTACAGTTCTTAGATCCTGTGCTCTCCTCTGCAGTTCTGTGCTCGCGTCTGCTCTGGCTGTGCTGTGCTGGCTGTGCTGGGACACTATGTTCCGGGGATTATGATTTCCTACATTGTCTGTGAGTAGGGTCTGACCTCTCCCCTTTCCAAAGCCCTGTCTTTGTTTTCTTTCCATGGACTGACCCAGGGGCGGATGGTACACTGTCTGCCCAGTTACCCATTTACAGAGACCTCCAGGGGATGCTGTAGTATTAGTAACAGTGGAATAGTCATCTGGGGAGGGCAGTGGATGTGGGAAGAAGCTGGAACAGCCTCAGGAAGGGACTTTGTCTTCCTTCAGCCTTTTCTGTTTAAGCATCAGTTGAATGAGGGCCCTTGGGAAATAGGCTTAGGGATCTCTGAGTGGACACTCTAACCCCCAGTGCTGAGTATCCTGCTGTGGCCCCTGGTGGTTTATCATGAACTGATCCAGAGGATGTACACTCGTCTGGAGCCCCTGCTCATGCAGCTGGACTACAGCATGAAGGCGGAAGCTGATGCCCTGCATCACAAACACGACAAGAGGAGTAAGGGGATTCCATGACCCAGAAGGGGGGAATGCTGGAGGACCTTGGCTTGTAGCTTGTGAAATGCCCTGGGATTTAGATACTTTCCATACCTTTGGCAGTGTTTGTCCCCCACCACTGTTGCTGCTTGGTCACTGCCCAGCTGTTCTTGGTTCTCTAGAGCGGCAGGGGAAGAATGCACCCCCCGGAGGTGATGAGCCACTGGCGGAGACAGAGAGTGAGAGCGAGGCAGAACTGGCTGGCTTCTCCCCAGTGGTGAGGTCCAAGGGAGGTGGGCTGGGGGAGAATTGCTCTGCTTTAGAGCAGCCACCTCTCCACAGGGTGGGGGTTGGTGGTGGGGCAGGGATGCTCCTGGAAAATGGGCTCTCTTAGCCCCTTGCCTGTGACATTCATCCTGGTTCTCCTGCAGGTGGATGTGAAGAAAACAGCACTGGCTTTGGCCATTACAGACTCAGAGCTGTCAGATGAGGAGGCTTCGATTTTGGAAAGTGGTGGCTTCTCTGTATCCCGGGCGACGACTCCACAACTAACTGACGTGTCGGAGGGTATGGTCCTTTGTCCCCTCCAAGCTTCCTGTTCCCTGTCATGGGATGCTGGCTGTGCTGTCTGGCAGTTGCCCCCATAAGTGTTTTCTGTGGGGAGCTGATCCTCTAGTTCTACTCCAAACTCCTGAAAGACCTTAATGCCTAAGGCCTGGCCCAGCCTTCCATGTCTTGAGTTCTCAACCTCGAACTGATTGGCCTGTTGCAGCTGCTCAGCACAGCAGGCCCATTCCTGGCCCTTTGTTTTCTGCCCAGATTTGGACCAGCAGAGCCTGCCAAGTGAGCCAGAGGAGGCCCTGAGTCGGGAGCTGGGGGAGGGAGAGGAGACAGACCTGGCCCCTCCCGAAGACCTGCTGGGCTCCCCTCAGGCCCTCTCAAGGCAAGACTTGGACTTGGAGGAGGAAGATGTGGCATCCAAGGAAACCTTGCTTCGGCTCTCATCCCCCCTTCACTTTGTGAACACGCACTTCAATGGGGCGGGGTCTCCCACAGATGGAGTGATGCTCTCCCCTGGAGGACCAGTGGAGACACTGAGCCCAGAGGCAGTGAGTGGTGATCTCATCACTCCACCTAGCGCCCTGTCACCCTTACTTTGCCTTGCTGAAAATGACCCGGCCCCTTCCCCCTCAGTACTCCCGCCTCTTCCCCAGGACTCACCCCAGCCCCTGCCTGCCCCCGAGGAAGAAGAGGCACTCACCACTGAGGACTTTGAATTGCTGGATCAGGGGGAGCTGGAGCAGCTGAATGCAGAGCTGGGGTTGGGGCCAGAGACATTCCCAGAGCCCGCTGATGCTCCCCCCCTAGGGCCCAATACCCCGTCTCTGGTACAGTCAGCCCAAGAGGCTCAGGCCACGGCAGAGCCATGAACCCCAGGGGAAGGAGTTGCAGGCACAGTAGGGCTTCTTGGCTAGGGATGTCACTGTTTCCTCCTTTCCCTAATGCCCTGGGGAGGGGCAATATGTGGGGGAGCTGG